ACAAACCTAATATATTTGTTATAACCGAATCCGTATTGAGGAATGGCGTCATTATAAATAATATAATTAGTTCTGTATAAGTGTTTATATTGTTATATCTCTTATATTGAGACAGAATCTATTTATAACGGCAATGGTAGAGAAATTTGCACGCCAACGGAACGGGATTATATGATACAATAATCAGAGCATTACTTTATCGTCATGAGATTAAATATGATACAAAACAAATGTAGCTCATTATTTAATAAAATTATGAAATTATTAAATAAACAAAAGAATATTATCAATCTCGTATCCTCCTGTCGTTTAATTTTCCAGTAATGAGTGTATAAACCACCCTGAAGGAAAATAAGGCAAGTCATGTAGTTAGATAAATGACTTTACCAATGTCACACTAATCTATAATCAGAGGGGACCCCTAACCAAGGGTGTTTCTACGACGAGCCTTATAGATTATTAGGCAATCTATAGGAAACTCCTTTAGTCCCTATGTATATTTATCCACTAGTAATGGACTCAAACATGTGAGCCTTCTTATATATAACCTTCTTGCGTTAACCTTATAGTGAATAAAACTTCAGCTTTCTCATGATTCATATACTGAAGGAAGCATAATAATGCTAACTGATGTGAGGAATCGATATGTTATTTATACACATATCTACCGAGAATATTAATATTAAATATTCCCTAGATAGGATTGTGTGGAGACTGATAAAATTAAGTAAATAATACCGTAGTAATTATGAAGTCTCTAAGGCAGATAAACATACTGCTAAAAAAGTGTTCATATATTGATGATTACTGGATGAACAGGCAGAGGAACTGACGCTACACCGGGGAAATTGTAGGTTTCTTATTGAATATGTTACGTTCTCAAAATATAATTAAACAGAAACAATAGAGCAAAACTTAAGGATAGAGGTATTAATAGTTAAATAGTTTTTAGGCCAGTGTAAAGCGGTCACTTCATCCTATATGTTAACTAGTCTGTATAATTCTTTTGCCTCATCTTATACTATATTAAGGGATTGTGATAAATATATTTATTCCATAACTGCTAAATATCAATGAATGCAATTTAACAACAAGAGAATGATTATTACATCTATAAGAAACAACTGAAGATATGTTCTATTATTTGTCATCTTAACAGCTGATTATTAATTCCGGAAAAATTAAAAAGTGCAGGATGTGCGAAAGAATTAGGTTCTGCAAAGATGGGAACTCCAAGTTATAATAACCATCACCAGGGAAAGTGTGAATTGAAAAATATAGTATTAAGGATTAAAGGAACAATACAAAAATCCTAAGGGAGGATGATATTCAAATAAAATATTCTCGATATTATAATAGGAATACGGGAAATCAAACAGGAGTAACGAGCAAAATTTATACTCCTCACCAGCGTGTCTGATTAAAAAAAATATGAAGCGACCAAGTAGCCAGAGTACGCCTAATATAACGTACTATTAAATATAATGGGAAGCAAGAATACACAAGAATAATTAAAATGGTTAGGGATTTTTATGTATACGGAGAAATCCACGAGAAGTAATAAAAATAGACTTCTTAACCTTAATGACCTATCGAGAAAATAACAAACATACATATTACTCCAGATCCACCGGGGGAAAAGGAATACTAACAGATAAGTAATACCAAACCAAGTCAAATATTGAAACCAAGTAAATTATCAATTAAAAAAATGCGAAGGTGATGTATTTTCTATACTACGTATTAAATATTTTCATAGGTACCGCTAGTAAATAGATTAAGTAAAATCGGAAAAAATCAAGCGCCAAAATCTAGTAGATAGAGCTTTCTCGTTATAGTATTAATAGTGTCAAATATGTAACTATCCGAGAATTGAAGATCTATAAAACTCAAAGGCAACCCCCCAGAAGTCAGGGCCAAGTGAGAAAATATAGGAATCATGCAAATATGTGATACCACATGGTCAAACATTAAATTATAAGTCAAATCTTATTAGCCAAATTTAAACATAGAGTGAAAAAATATATAAATCACTCTGTGTGCGGCGCCAATAAACTCTCATGACCAAAGGCGAGGTAATATCGGGTTAAGGGTAGATTAATAATTATAGACTACAAAGTCAATTTATTGTTCGTACCAGAAGCAAAGGACCAACAAATAATGTATAAGAAAAGGAGGACCTAAAAAAAAGACAGGTGCAGAAATAAACACAGGTTCGGTAACACAAAGACTCTCAAGGCGGAATCCCATTCTTCTCGAGGAACCATAGACGAAAAGTCGAGGAACATCAGAAAGGAGCATAGCCGGACCACTTGAACTACCACGAATCTAGAAGGAAGGATAAAACTACAGAGCAGGTCACTAAACGACTAACCACGAATGGCAAAAGATTGATCAGCCAAGGCACCCTATATGCCAAACCAAATTGAGGGACTAATCCATGACAGAACAAAACCTAAGACTCCCCATGGTCATAAATCACTAATCAGATATGAGACTAACTGAATATGCTACTCCAACAAGGCATAAGAAAAGAAACAGCAATGCAATTCTCAATAAGCCCTAGATAAGAAGGAACAGACATGAAAAACCCCCAAGCAAAAAAGGAGAAGCTAAATGAGAAAAGAACTCACAACTAAAATCAGAAAAGAACAAGAAAACAGCCCCACCGCGAAGGCTTATACTGTGTAACTAGTCATGTATTGAGTACTTATCATCTCCGTATTGCAGAAAACGAAACAAAACCCCCCAGATTCCTTCGAACAGAAAACTACAACTGTCAGGTCTACTATCCTCGGCCCATAACACCTCAAACATATTAACTTCTGAAACAGCTAATCAGACAGAGGATCACAACAAACGGAAAATCTACGGCCGACTCTCTTAACGACAATTCTCCGAGACATAATCCTATTGCGACAAAAGAAATAACCAAAACAAAAACCCCAAATAAATTCTCCTCGAAGGCACAAGAAACACCCGCTTATGAAGACCCAACTCATCCCCAAAATCCAGAATATTATAGAAAACCGAAATTCACAGAACCGACCGGAGGTTCCAATAAAAAAAATATAAAATCGAGCAGCAGTTGTAGTCAAAATGCAATGGGATTATGACCTCCAATAATGAAGCAAACACGGAGATAGTACTTGTACAGGCTGAACAGGTATAAACTAAAAGTGGAGGCACTTGGAAAAAAATACAAACAGCGAACCAAGACCAAGGAACAATGAAAAGGACAAATGCACCTTAATATCTGACATAAATATTTTCTTAGAAGAATAAAGCATAACCAGAAGAACGTCCTCATGAGTACAGGGACTCGCCAAGTGTAAAACCATCTTGCAAATCCAGAAACGGATACACCTGAATTAAAAAGAATTCACTCCACCTAAGTCTGACAGGTCCATAACACCCCCTCTTTATGATAGTTTAATAAAAATCGGCTAAAGTACTCTATCTGAATTGAGAAATCAAGGGATCTACAATAGGAAAGAAGCCCAAGCAGGAACCGCACTCCAGAAACCTCCTCCCGGTGAGAAGACGACTCCTAAAGAGAAGAATGGGAAGAGTATCTAAGTTCCCAGAGGGAACAAGAAGGAGCAAACACAACCGGATGAGTCTTTAAGGATAGATGAAAACTCAGAGCCAGAAAATCAGATCTAACACAAATATAAAATCAACATAAAGGAGCATCATAACAGACTAACCCAACATGACCTAGACGTGGTCGCCCTCCAAAGGAGTTGGGGCCAACCCCCCCGAACTAATCGGGAGCGTCCAAAATCCCAAAAATAGGGCAGCCTCAAAGGAGCAATATATAGTCCAGAAGAATAAGTATTCATCACAACACTATGAACTAACCTCAGCCAAAGGCGCACCATGAGAAAAGACAACTGTCCAAGCGGAAGAAAGGATCTCTGCATCAAAACAAAGACAAAGGCAGACTTCTGGACAAGTTCCTAACGAACCCCCTCCAAAACCTAACCCAAAGGCAACCACACACACACCCTCCCCCAGGTCATGAAAAACGGCGGGAGCCCGATGGATAAAAACTGAGAGACCAAAGCTTAGCAAGTAAAGGAAAATTCCATAGAGTACCAATCAGACACAACAGCCGAATTCATTCCAGTGAGACCACCCAAAACCAAAAATCAAGCCTGAAAAAAAAGGTCTAACTTCAAATCAAACTAAAGAAGAATCGTCGAAGTAGGACCAAATGATGAATTAAAGGATGAAATTTACAAAACGCTTCCCCCCCAAGGAACAAATATCAATTAACAAAACTTCAGGGTACGTTATTAGGACCTAAGAGTACGATTCTCATTATACAAAATAATGAATCCGGGCTGAATAGTGGACAGTCACTAGAAGTGGGATTTTCTCTGATTAACTTAAAACGAGCACCCACCTCACCTCAGATAGAGTAAGTAATTAACATGAAGTTAATTAGCAGAAAAAGAAAGCGCCCAATGAAGGTATACGGCAACCGAAGGAAAAGACTCCTGATAAGATCCTGTAGTTTATGTCACAAGAATTTGCCTAAGATAAAATGAGGTTATAAATTGATTCCCAACGCCGACCCAGAAGATATCTACAGAACTATATTTCAACAACTCTCAAAAGGCAATAAAGTAGCCCCACTAGATAACCCACCTAAGGAAAAACTTTTAAGTTCACAACAACTGCTAGAGCAGAAGCAACAGCTACGCCCCCGACCGCTCACATAATCAGAACAGATTCTGATAAGTCAGACCCTATCAAGAACAAAGTGAACCAAATCCTATACCAGGAATTAATAATGAACAATCCTCCAGTATTTGAGTGCGTGAGTGCCGGGATGAATTAGTATAGGGCCAGAGACTCCATTAACTGCCTGGACTCAAATTAATTCTGACGGAGGGCTACAGGTGCAGCCATTGACTAATATGTCATACCCAACTGGAAATCAGAAGGAATTTTCAGATAAAATAAAAAACAAATCACCACTTGGTCTCCCCATCTCGGGCAATTGCACGTATAGAAAGCTAAACAGACGTAAGTCCGGGCGATATTCATGGAACAAAATTCTGAGGGGCTAGACATAAGGTACCAAGTACAGAGTAGGTCCTGACCCAAACAGGACAAATCCAACCCTCATAACCCTCAGAAGCCCTCAGACGAAAAAACAGAGAACAAAAGGAATAAGAAGGGGAAAAATGCCCAACCCACAGCAGCCGGGTTTTCAAAATCCATTGATTCAGAAAAATACGAACAATACAGAACGCACAGCATCTAGTAGATCGGACAAATTGAGACGAGATTTAGAAATATGTAATTAGGAGGAGCAAAATTTCCGGAGTCTGAGTTGCCGGAAAATCCCATTACCAGGTAAGGACCCCTCCCCAAGACCGAAGCAGCGGAAACTGTCTGAATCCAATAAGATAAAGGGCACTCCCCGAAGAGAATTAAATGAGGAGATATGTATGAAAGGTAAAATCGAACAAAACAAACGCTTCAATGACGCAATGAAGTTAAGAGGAAACCTTAGTCAAGATGAATATCCAGTCAATCAAGCTAAGAGAACACCAAGAAGACAAGGAGACAGTATAAATCAGTCCAGGAACAGAAAATCTGAACAATCTGGGAAGTTTCGTCCCACAGAAAGGGCTAAGGGGGAGGTCACTCAATACACAAAAACAGCACAACAGAATCTTTTTTGAGCCGAACACGCAGATGGAGCGCACTAAAATGAGCAGTAATACATAATAAAAATTCCAAGGGCGACCAAGTATGACGGACTTTATGAGAAAAGTCAGGTCAAAGGAAAGAAGGAGGTCCCTATCCTTGATCCAGAAATTTTCTAGCAAGCAGATGAAAGGAGAACCCAACTCACAAACTGAAGCAGAAATATAACAGAACAATAGGACTAGTTCGTCGTACATTAGAGGAGGAACAAACCAGAGAACGGGGCGAGGTTCAAACTTCCTGAACCGGGAGGGAGGAATAAACCGGAAGTCAGAGATGGACTTCCGACCAACACGACAGACGAGAGACTAAAACATGCAGGAGTCAGTAAGGGTAAAGGAAGGATAAACCGTATCTCCAAAACCGGAGAAATCTCAGGAAAACTACCCACAACACGAGAACATCAAACAAAACAGAAGATTGGGGCAAAGGAGCAGCAAACAAACCTCAGTAAGGACGATATAGAACAGCCGACCAATTAGGAAATCTGTCTGAGCGTATAGAAGTGTCGGAAAGTAGAGGACAACCCCCCCAAGGGAATCTCCCCAGACACAAAAAGCAACAGTCCAAAAAGGAAACCGGGACATGGTGGAACTGATGAATCCGAGTATATTCCTCAGCCCCTTTGATGTGAGAGATTTCAAGAGAATCAATTTCGATGTGCTCAGACTGAGTCAAGAAGGAGATGAAAGAAGGCACAAGATAGAATATCATAATTCCGGCGGAGATGGTACCTGACCAGCTAATTTCAGGAGCAGAAATAGCACCACTGAAGGCGAATCTTTCTCCCCAATATTCACGGAAGAATGCCATGCCGACGGATCCCTCCAAAATCATCAAAGGGTCCGGAACCAGTCGGACCATCTATGACGTATTTTTAGAAGCGTGAAGTATCTAGGAACAGGTCCTGGTAGGAAGGATTCGGAAGATTAAAGGGCGGATAGCCGTAGCAGCAGAGTTCCTCTATCTTCCGAGCCTAAGTCAGAATGTCTGAAAGACAAATGGACACGATCATCAGCCAAGGGAAATCGTTAGACACCAGAACAGGACAGGAGATTAGCCATAAAAATTAAAGCGGCATATGGGGCTCCCCCCCCAATGGGAGAGATCATATGAGAGCTTTACACAAAGTGAAACTTCACAGACAATTTCCACCTCAATATATGATACCGAAGGAGAAAATGGCCGAGTCGTAGACTCACATTTCGTATCTCGACAACTCAGGAAGAATAATCTGTCCTGAGCTCTGCAGAGTCTTCCGACAAACGGAGTAGGAAGAACAGCACGGTATGGTGAGGGAAAAGGATAACGGAAAACGCCACAACCAAAGGGCCCAATCAGGAAAGACTGGTGAGGCCTACATGAGTCGAACCAAATCCGGAGCGGTAGACGTACGACACAGTCAGAAACCGATAGACGAGCCAGAAATGGAGACCTTGGGTGCAGCTGAAAAGTCATAACGCCAGAAACCAGAACCTCTCTCCCACCAGCTTGAAAAGTCTGAGCGTCGAAGTAGAGGTTGTCCTCAAGGCCCGGAGCACCTCAACAACGACTAGCTGAGACACCTAGGGTCTAAAGAGCCAAAAGGGGTCCAAAGACCGGGCTATAACACGCATTAAATAAGGAAAAAAGGGCGCAACCAGTAACAAAACGGAAATCAGGCAAGGGGCTAACTGAAGACAAGAATAGCCAACCCGGAGAGGCAGATCTCAGGTGAAGAAAGGGGAATGAAGTGAAGGTGAAGCCAGGTATGGGAAGCAGGAAGGCTGCGGAAGGGAGTGGTTAAGGCGTGGAAATAATGAGAAGCCAGAGAACAGTAGACTTAGAGCGACTAAGAAGGAGGCCCGAAGTATAACAGCGATTCAAGGAGAAAGTCAGCGGGAACGTTCATATCTGAGGCAGCCGCGTCAGGGACAATCTCGTCGAATACGGGAGGGTCAGCAGGATATAGGTACCGAATAGGGAGAAACCGAGTGGGAATTTCTCCCATGGTCCCATGCTTCAATGTTCTCCATAAGGGAAATCAGCAAGACAACTCCATCAAGATCCTACGCGTCTATTAATGGAAGCAAACGGAGCTAAATATCCTGAACGTTACGGGCAGTATCCCAAGGAGGTACGAGATTTGAGAAAACGGACTAACTAAAATCCAATAGGTACAAGGCGCGGCGGATTCATGGGGCGGCGAATATTGCCGAACAGAGGGGAAGAAATCCAAACTCGGTGGAGGGGAGGACGGAGAGGTACCAAAAATGGGCAGTCATAGGAGTGGAGAGGAGACGTCAGGTCCCAAACTGGGGAAGCCCAACAGTGGAACACCCCCCCAAAGCGTCCGGGTGATTCCCCAGATAGGAGTCGATAGAGCCCAGAGAGAAATAGGACGATGCCCGTCTGATAAGGGACCAGGGACTTAAGACCCCAGACCGCAGACCTCGAGCTGCCACCCCCAAACCGGGCCCCCTAACACGAGAAGAGGTTGACAATGGAGCAGGACACCCAACTGAGTATGAACATGTATAGCTGGGGCGGAAACGAGTGGCTGGGAACAGGAATACAAACTTGGGAAAATCTATGTAGAGAATACCGTCCAACGGAAGAAAGGAACGTACAAGAAGACCAGCAGGAGAATAAAGAAGGAGGAGACTGGCTGAAAAATTACCTAAAAACCGCATGGGTTGACAGCTTGAGGGTACGATATGAAGCTACGAAGGGGGAAGATTGGACAGGAAACGGCAAACTAAACAACAAGCAGGACCTGATCTATTCGTGGAAGGGATTAATACTGAACGTTGTACATCAAATGAGGAACTCCCCGGCCCTCAGTACCTCCTGTGTGGAACAAGAGGATAAATCCAAAGCAGAGGCGACTATCCAATCTGCTAAATGGGGGGATATCTTGTGGAGAGAAATATGCAAAAACAAAACAGAAGCAGCAACTATCATGGGTACTCTGCAGTGTATTTTGAAGATATGGAGTCGAAGGTCTGACTCAGATCATTTGAATGAGGAAGCTCTGACTCAGGAGTGTAAAGAAGTATTGAGAAGATTACAGGCAGAAGAGGGCACATGGAACGGGTGGATAAAAATCCCAGGCCAAAAGAGGTCGATGAGTTGTTTAAACCTGGAGGGTAGCAATAGCACACTCAATGAAGATTCACAGAAGATCGGGTTGGTACTGAGTATCTATCGAGTAATAGAGGAATTATGCCCCAAATGTGGACCGTATTCATTGACCCAGTGGCTAAAAGGACCTGCACAAAGTCACGCATCCAAGTCTCGGCTCTATTGCTCAATAAGACGACATGAGTTAAGATGTTATAATAACCCAACGGAGACGGGGGCAGGAACCCAGTATATGTTATATACCAAGCAGCACCCATCAACCCAAACAGATACCACAGGACAGGGAGCCACTGAACTCTCCGAGCAGGAACATCTCCAGAGCGGCCTACCGAAAATAAAGCAACCGGATAGTCCTTCTCCCCGAATCATGCCGGACATGGCTGGATCTAAGGGTCCGGAATCAACGACAGATGAGCAAGGGTATGGAGTTAATTTAGGCACGAGACAGCTTGACGAGTTGACAGGGACGGGTAATCATTTCAACGGACCCACGCCTGGCAAAGGAGCACTAGTCTCACGAACAGGGAACGAAAGCGGTATTCCGGATTCTGATGAGACGTCAACAAGGACTGAAAGGCCCCAGCAGGTACAGTCAGCCCCTGGCTCTGTGGCTGGGACTTCGCTAGATAGTACCGGACCCACCACCTCAGTGGGAGGAGATGAACTCTCCAAGAGTTCTATATCCGGTGGGACACAGGCGGGGTTGGGGGGAATCATTGCAGGAGTCCTAACAGCCATAGTCTTAGGGGCGGGAAGTTTATATGGGGGATGGAGAGTAGTGAAGAAACGTGGGGGAGCCGCCCGAGGACTTAGGGGTAGGCCCACTAGGACCATAACGTATGGAACGGGACATGGTCTCAACGGCTACCAAACAGGGAGGATCTAAGCGACCGGCCGCTTAACTTCGTCAGACGAAGAAATCTGAAGGTTAGGGGATATCTCCTGAGTTCAGTTTAGATGTTTCACTGGGGACGGGACTCCATGATCACGCGCCTCAGGGTCTCGTGGTTGTGGTTTGTCGGTCGGAGATCAGTTCCTCTGGCGTCTACGCTTTAGTATTAGGTAGGGAGGTCAGGACAAGCCATTTGGGATTTTGGGGGTTAAGTTGCAGTATGGGTCTGATATTCTATCCGTCCTATTCAGGAGGTCTGGCTTAGCGAGTTAGGGTGTATGGTCAGGATTGAGGGGTCGAGGTTTAGATTTAAGGGTCGGCCTCTTAGGCCTTCGTATTCAGGCTTAAGGGTCTAGGTTCACATTTAGGCATCATGGATTAGGGTTCTGGGTTATGGGTTTAGGATTTAGAGTTTAGGATTCAAGGTTCATGGTTTAGGGTATAGGGTTCGGGGTTCAGGGTTTAGGTTTACGGTTCGGGTTCAGGATTCAGGGTTTAGTTTTCAGGGTTCAGGGTTTAAATTTCAGGATTTAGGGTTCAGGGTTGAGGGGTTTAGGGTTCAGGGTTTAGGGTTTAGGGTTCAGGGTTTAGGGTTCAGGTTTAGGGTTTAGGGTTTAGGGTTCGGGGGTGGGGGGTTCGGGGTTTAGGGTTGAGGGTTTAGGGTTCAGGTTTAGGGTTCAGGGTTCATGTTTCAGGGTCTAGGTTTTAGGGTTTAGGGTTCAGAGTTTAGGGTTTATGGTATAGGTTTCTGGATTTAGGGGTTAGGGTTTAGGGTTTAGGGCTCAGGGTTTAGGGTTTAGGGTTCAGGTTTCAGGGTTCAGGGATTTAGGTTTCAGGGTTTAGGTTTAGGTCTCAGGGTTCAGGGGTTAGGGTTTAGGGTTTAGTGTTTCAGGTTTTCTTGGTTTGGTTGTTAGGGTTTATTGATCAGGTTTCATGGTTTAAGCTTCAGGGTTCACGTTTTACGGTTTAGGGTTTAGTTTCTCCGGGCTTATGGTTTAGGTTTAGGGCTGTGAGTTCAGGGTTTAGTGATTAGGGTTCAGGGATTAGAGCTGTGGGTTTAGTTTCCATGCTCGGAGCGTCCAGTGTTCAGTGCCTTACGGATTAGATTTAGGGTTCAGTGGCCTAGGGATTATATTTACGGTTCCCGGCTTAGTTGTTAGGGGCTTATTCTTTCACCTCTCGGTTGCGGCGGTTAGGTTTTTGGCTTTCGTTTTGTGGATTAGGGTCTAGATTTCTGGTGTCAGTCCTTATGTTTCAGGGTTGATGGATTAGCCTTCTGGGTTTAGGCTTCTTTTTAGGATTTGGGGCATGTTTCTTAGGGTTCAGGTTTAGGGTTCAGCTCTATGGCTCATCGTTTTGAGCTCAGTTTCACCTATTGTCTCCAGAGTTATTTGATTATCATTGACGTATCACGGCGTCAGCATCCAGCTCTTATGCCTAGGTTTAAATTCCATACTTTAATCTTCAGGGTGATGCTTTTGGGCGTTCGCTCCGTGGCTCAGCTGTTTCGTTCATCTTTTATGATCTGTGGATTAGGTTCTAGAGTTTACTGATTCAGGATCTAGGATTTAGTTGTTACGGGCTCAGATTCTGTTCACGGTTCTGGGTTTTTGGGGTTTTGCATTTGCTCGTTTTCTCGCCCGGACTAGAGTTTAGTTTGCTCGGTCTATTTGTTTGGGGGGAGTGCTTTGCTTATACTTCTCATTTGGCAGGATTTATGGACTTTTCCTTATACTCCGGGGTTAAGATTTTGACTTATCGTCGTGGTTTCAGTTTCTCATATTCAGCTCCTATGTGCCGACCTCGTTTTCTTTCTTCTATATTCCTACTGTTGTCTATTCCTATTTATTTCCATTTACGCTAACGAAAGGTGGTATCAATATACTTGTTGACATATCCTGAGGAAATGTAAATATGAGGCAGTTGCAGTTCCTAACAAGAATCATACGCGAGCTTCTATTTGTAGGCGATGAATTAGAACCATCTTCTCCTATAGGCCTATATTTGTAAGGAAAATATCGGTATCGTCATTTTATACCTTGACTTTTGATTTATTTTATCTTTTCCAGTACATAATTGGAACCCGGAAATGCCCTGACGCATCAGATGAGGTTTTAGTAATAAGACACTACTTTCTATAATTTACTTTAGACATATATTTCCTTTCTATGTCATTGCATTGATTTTTTTGTTTTAGAGTATTTTTCTTCTGAGGGGTCTGTATTTTATATTTTAATTTTTAATGAGGATATGGCAGTTATTAAATAAGCAGAGGCCATCTATTTTCTGAATCAACTTTTCATCTCTGTAGATTAAGATAATGATAGTAATAGAAAATGACTCTACTTGAGTGGTAAATTTTCTCTGTTTTGATAAATTTATAATATAGGATTTAATAGTAAATCTGATTGTAATCTAACATTTTAGATGTCTGTTAAGCAGTCAATAGAGGAGAAAGTCCATAATAAGATCATTTTTCCTTTCTGTATGAGAATTCTCTACTCCATACAATTCATATGTAAATATTGTTCTTACGGAACTATGTGTTGACGTCAGTTGAGAGGCATATGAAGAACAGAGATGAATATAATTATTACCGAAGACAAAGAATTACAACTGTTACGGTTATAAATTATGTCATCCTTTATGATATGAGCTATGATGTATAGACGAATTTATCATATGTTGATAATTACTGATATCAAAGTACAAAATTCTGATTAATACTACGAACCCTTCTGTCCTTATTTTAAAGAAGTACCTGTGATTTTATGTTGGAATAATAGAAAATTTGAATAAGTATATGGATTCATCTATATAGCTATCTACATATCTGTAACTATTGCTGCACTATATTATCATTAAAATTGAGGTAAGTAATTATTCATTGGAAACAATAATATAACAAGACTGTAATCTTACCCAGACATAATCGATGATTACAATTGAATTGTCATTTTATTTGGGTATACTAGGATTTTGTCTATCGCGAG